CTAGGCTGCAGAGAGATAGTCTATGGTTTCTGAAGTCCTATTTGTACAATAATAAAGATCCTGGGACATGCATTGCTAAGGCAAAATGGAATTACAGCTAAGAGTATAAGCTCTGGAGTCAGACTGCCTGCATTTAAATCCGTGCTCCAACAGTTGCCGACTGTGATCTCATCTTCTCTAATCCTCAGTCTCCTTAGTTTTAAGATGGTGTCAATATAACAACCTACTTCATAGGATGGCCTATGGGAGCCAAACAGATAATGCAAAAAAAGCACTCAGCATTATACTTGTGTTCAATAAATGTATGCTTGGGCCAGGCATGATGGTGATGAATTACTCTTATAATCCCAGCACACAGAGGCTGAGCCAGGAGGATCCATCTCGAGTTCAAGGCCAGCCTAGGCTATACAGTGAGTTGCAGGCCAGCCAGGGTTACATAATGAGGCCCTGTCTCAAAATAGAAAGACAGACAGACAGACAGGCAGGCAGGCAGGCCTGTCTGAGTACATACCCTATGAACATCAACATTTAAGGGTGGCGGGGGCGGGGGGAATGCAACCCATTCTAAGAGGGGGTTCTGCCTCAAGTCAAGGAAAGATAAGTGGGTTCCAACAGGGAAAGATTACTTGACAAGGTCAAGTGCTACAAAGAAAAAGTCCATAAAAGAAAAGGGCTGCAAAGTTGAAGGGAACTGGGCAGTGCATGACCAGTTTCTGAGTGGCAATGGAGGCAGAGGCGAATGAAAGCTGAGAAAGGCAGCATGTAGACTTGTCTCCTGGCTTGTGGAGGGAAAGATAATTAGAGTAATAATTAGTACTAGGCAGTAATTGAAAGGAAGAAGCATGCACCGGCCCCACCCTTGGGTATGCTGAGCTGCATCAAGTCCAAGCATGGCAGTACATGCCTATAATCCCGGTGCTGGGGAGAATGAAAATAGGAGGATCACTTTGAGTCCAAGCTGCCTAGTGACACCCTGTACCATATAGATTGGGGGAAAAAAAAAAAAAAAAAAAAGGAGCAACAGCAGCAAGGGAACAGGGTAAGAGAGTATTGTATTTTGTCTTAGATAAGGGAAAGGAGCTGGTGAAAGGAAAAGCTGAAAACACAAAGTCAGAAGCCTTTATTAGTTGACTAAGCTACCAGATGAGACAGAAGATAGGAACTCAGGGCACAGGTGAAACAATAAACTTCAGAAAGGATGAAGTGCCCTATGCCACTGAAGTAAAGGTAGGTGGATAGACAGATAGATGTACGACAGACAAGCTTTTAGATAAGATGGGCCAGTAAACCGAGGCATTCCCCCCAGTTTGTCTCTATACTTTCTATGAAAACATTTTTACCATCATTACTACTGTTGTCATTGTTACTAATGTACTAAGGATATAATTATGATTTTTTAAACTTTCACTTACTGCACATACAGGATTAGGTCTCTGATGTACTAATTCCGGTATTTTCATTTCTAGGAGGGCATGTCAATATTCTAGGAAGTTAACACATTTCTGTGATATGGGTAACACAGTACACAGCAAGACTAAAGTATCAAATAGTGCTCTCTCCCTCTTGAAATGAAATTATTCTTAACACGACGTATTCACCAAGTCCAAGACATGTACTAGACCTTCTCTGATGTTTAGGCTTTTCAGTGACAGTGATACTATTATTGTATGAGTTTTGTTTTGTTTTGTTTGGTTTTTGTGGGACCGGGGATTGAACTCAGGAACCTGCATTTGCCAGGCAAGCACTTATTCTACTGAGCTATCTTCCCGGCCCCAAAGGGAAAATAGATTTTTTTTGCAGAACCGGGGATTGAACTCAGACCCTTGCACTTGCCAGAGAAGCACTTATGCCACTGAGCCATCTCCCCAGCCCTTGTATGAGTTTTGACTATGCCTTCCCTTGAGATAGATTAAAGTGTTTTAATATATGTGATTTCATTGTTACACCTCTTGAGGTAAGGCTGTATTCAGGTGCAGAAAATCTCATAAAGATAAAATTATTCAATCAAATTCAGAACAACAATAACAAAGCTAGAAGGAAATTAGTGAGTCCTACCCTCAGGACTCGTCTCCGACTATGAAAACTCCCTGTGTAGTAGACATATGTCACTTAGCAATCTTAGTCCCCCACCCCTCCACTGGAAATAAGTACTCTGGATACAGGAATGATAAATAACCTCAAGAACACAGCTTAGTTACCTTAGTTCTGGACATCTCCCATTTGCTAATCTTAGTCCCTCCCCACTCCAGGAAATACATGCACTAGGTACAGCATGAAGAGGAAGGAAAAAAAACAAAAATAAATTAAACATATATACAGAGAGAAATAGATATAGATTATATGATATAGCTCAGCATTAGCAACATTTTCTTCCTTAGAGAAATTACATCTACAGCTTATTAGAGCCTTCTCATAAAAAATACAGGGTTTGCACTGGGGAGACAGCATAGCTAAGTACCTGCCTGGCAGGTGCAAGGATCCAAGTTTGATCCCCAGTACCAGTAGCACATGCTGGGCACCCTGGAACCTGGCATGGTGGGGCACACCTGTAATCCCAATGCTGGGGAGGCTGAGAAAGGAGGATCACTACAAACTTGAACTATGTAGCAAGACCCTCTATCAAATAAATAAATAAATATTTTAAAATTTAAAAATGGAGGGTTTTAAGAACTGTGAAAAAGGGGGGCCGGGGAGATGGCTCAGTGGAATAAGCATTTGCTGGCAAGCACAAGGGCCTGAGTTCAATCCCCCGTTCCACAAAAAAAAAAAAAAAAAAAAAAAAAAAAAAAAAAAAAAAAAAAAAAAAAAACAAGAACTATGAAGAAAGGACTAAATCATTTTCTTTTTCTTTTCTTTTTTCTTTTTCTGCATTTAGGATAGGGCCTATAGGGTCCCACTACGTAGCTCGGACTCATAGTGATTCTCCTGTTTTCAGCTTCCCAAGTGCTAGATTACAGGTGGCACACGCTCAGGTGCCCAGTCTCAATTGCTGTCTCAGTTCACCCAGCAGGCAGGGCTGGCAAGGCACACCCGGCATTGAACCCCAGTCACTGTGCTCTGCCTAAGCAGGCACTTTAGTCCACTGAGCTATCAGGCTGGCCCTTTAAATCATTTTTCTTGAACACACACAGTACTCAATAAATAAATGCTAAATGCGTCATTCTTGTAGTTCACAAAACCCAATACTTCAGAGAAGGGCAGAATAAAAGGATGAGTACTTATACAAGACTGATAATTTCTAAGCCTCAGGCAGATAACTTGGCTCTGTTGCACACCATTGCGAAAGCCCGCCATACAGAAGCCTCCAGAACAGTAAGAGATAGGACTACAGCCAAAGGTGTAATCACAGTAGGGATCAAACCACAGAACAGCAGCCTTTCAGGTCTCTGTGGTGTTTTTTAACCAGCTAATTTACATTTTAATCAAAGGAGGTGGAGAAAATGGCCCATTCTTTTCCCACAACACCAGAAGGTAATCAAGATCATGAACTGGAGCTGAGAGACAGAAAGAGAGAGGGAGAGGGAACGGACCTATGATTGCAGTGAGCCTAGAGCAGGGCTTCATGGGAAGAAGAGGCCCCAGACTTGCACTGATCTGCACCACACTACAGATCGCGAGGGATATAGCTAGGGGAGGTAAGTGGAGGAAAAGCGGAGTCTTTCCCTGTGGGGACAGTCTTCCTGTGGGGAAGGCAGGAAGACGAAACAGTTGTACATCTAAGCATCTACTAGGAATGCACGTGATGGGGTCTACTAAGCACAGGATTTGGTGGTTTTTTTGAAATAGGATCTCGTTACATAGTTCAGGCTGGCCTCAAACTCACTATGTAGCCCAGGCTGGCCTCCAACTTGTAGTACTTGTCCTGCTTCAACCTCCCAAATACTAGAATTATAGCCATGTTCTGCCACGCCTAAGTGTGTTTTTTTTTTTTACATTCTGACAAAGCTTGGAGTGCTAACCTCAGGGAAAGCCATAAAATTTATAAATCTTTCTATTTAACTTGGATGATACTTCCAGCAATGATTTACAGAAACTAGAAAAAGTTTCTGGAAATTACCCAATACTCTTTAACTGGGGTTACTTATATTATCTTTCACTTTGTCAATGAAGATGCAGCTGAAGGAAGGAAATTAAAGAAAAAAATATATATATACATATAATGATCTAAAGCAAGAAGAAATGAATAGTCTTTTTGGTTTAAGAAAAAAAGTTGATCAAAACCTGGTAAAATCAATGTTACATACCTAAAATGCTTCTGGATAATCACGAACAATTTCTCCTAGTTTATTTTTGTTTTGGTTGAATGGAAAGTAATACAGATTCTCAACAGAATCTGATTAGGAAAAACCTTAATAGCCACTTGTAAGCTGGATTGAAAGAACATATGAAAAGTGTTTTGCAATAAATGCATCCCTAATGGCATGCTACTTCCCTAGCAGTATAAGCAACTACATCACTAACATACTAACAGTAACTAATGAAGAGCTGGATTTTTCATTCTTCTTTCTACTTTTTCTTCAAAAATCTCATTGATATTTAACCTTCCCAGCAGAGGAACCTCATAGCCTTCAACCCACTCTTCCCATCCCTAGTTCCTTACTTTTTAAAAAAGAGTAAAATTTAGTCCTATTCAAAAATTTTGCTTAGCCTCCCTGGGTATAATTCACCAAGAATTTGATGCTGACCCAAAAATCAGCAACCCAGAAAAGCGTTTTAAAGTTCCAAGTAAAGGGTTAGGGATATAGCTCAGCAGCAGTGCCTGCCTGGCAAGTACAAGGTCTTGACTTTGCTTTTCAGTATCCCACTCCTCAAAAAATCCCAAGTGAAAAGCAAAAATAAAATATGACTAATGAACAGATATGGAAAACCACTATTTCAATACAAGGGTCAAAAGGCTTCTTTGCCAACTTTGTAATTCCACAAACCCCCAGCAACACCTTAACTCCAGAGTCCCTCTAAGATTTCTACAAATCGTAACTGCAACTACATTCAGTACTTACTTGTCTTGGAAAATGTCCTGAGCAGTTACTTGATCCTTTCTCTTCACAGCTTCAGTCAAAGGGAAAAGGCTCTTTATTTTGGATAGAGGATTCTTACATTTTGCTGTCACCTCAGCTGGGGGATCCAGCATATTCAAAATATGCTGCTGGAGTGGGGGCAGAGGTTCCTGGGGATGTAAAGCTCTATGCAGCAGACACTGTAAGGAAAAGTACACAGGTTGTGAAACAAACGGAAATATCATGTACAACATCTTTGCATTCTCTAGTTTGGAATCTTCCATCTTTTGAGAGAGCTGTGTAGCTCACCATACATAAGACACAACAAAGAGTACTGACCCAGAACCACTTTTGTTAGAGGGATGTTGAGGATGTCTAGAACCTCCTGTGAACACACCCATACCCAGCAGCAAATCCTTCTGCAGACCTCTTAGAAGGAAGCCCTGTGAAAGAAGCTGTGGCTTTAAATATCTGACAAGTTCACCCTTGCCTTTAGATCCTGGGCATGATATTCTCTCTGGCCTCCCATAGACCTTACACAATAGCCCTAGACCTTCACACAGTTGGCCTATTATTTATTTTTTAATTGATCTGGTCTTTATTCAAATACTCAGATATTATTTCCTCAGAGAACTTTCCCTGATATTAAATATGAAGTAGCACCTTCTAACCCAATTCTATTTGATGTTTTTAATAGCATTTATTATCTAAAAAATTTTAATTGACTTATCTTTATCAATTTTTAAATTTTTTCTTAGTTTACTTATTATCTAACCCTCCCACCTTGAACGTAGAGATCTTATCTTGCTTACTCTTAAATTCAAAGCACAGAAAATCATGCCTTGGACACAATAAGCACCTGACTGCCACTGATTGAAGGACTAAAGTCCTCTTTCCCAGAACACTTATTACTGACAGAGGTGTCAGGAGGCAGCACCAAGAGTAGCACAGGACCAAGGCCAGGGCAGGTTCTCCGCTCCTCACAGAAATTAATTTCAAAATTGGTTTGGAGAATAAGGCTACAACTATTCCTAGTTTTCACTTTTATAAAAAATGCATTTGGTACAGGGTCTCACTATGCAGTTCAGACTTGTAGAGATCTTCCTGTCTCAGCCTCCCTAGCATTGGGATTACAGCCTGGTTTCAGTCTTGGTCGTCAGCTCAGTGCACGCGGGGACCGGGCCGGCACAGCTTGTGGCACTGGACATCAAACCCTGGTCCCTGTGCTTGCCTAAGCAGGTGCTTAGTCCAATGAGCTATCTCACAGTCCCTTAATAACTGTTACTGATATTCTTTTATTGTTACTCATGCATACTGGCAAGTGCTCTATGACTGAGCTACAACCCTGCCAAATTCATATATTAGCAGTTCTGAAGAAAAAAATTAAGAGCTACATCGTTCCTGTAATTTCAAACTACTATTTCTTATCACAAAGCATATGATTTATACTATTTTGTGACATATTCATTCATTTCAGAGTTTGACTCCTACTTTCTTTCTTTATACTTAACTCTCCCTGAAAGTCAGTCTTTTTAGTATAGAGCAAAAGGAGAAATCAAATACTCCCAAGCCCTCTGAATCTACCCATAACCTTCTTATGCATAAAGCCTTAGTTTACACTGCCCTCCTTCAGTTCATTAAAACAGCTCAGCTTACTAAGTCTTAAAGAACTTGGTAGGTTTCCTGTCACATGTTCCTGTGGCATGTTTTAGAAACAACTAGAACACCAATAAATATGTTATCCAGTCTTCCAAATGACATCTCAGATTTTCAGTATGAACTCTGAACATTTTCAAACAGTGTTGTTACCAATAAATTAATAATGAAGGATCTATAAGATGTTCTGGTGCATCAGCCTCTCTCTCATATTTTCCTAAAGGTCACACTTTAGATTACATAAAGCTAAGTGGGATACATACAAAACTCATTCAAGCAAAAAATCCCAGTTCATCTCTCAGTCCCTCACCCCTAAATGAGGTTCTGAGGAAGTGGTAATTTTAGTAGCTCAGAAGCTAAGATCTCAATCCTTCATCTATTTATTTCTTTTATGCAACTGTTACTGCTTAATGTGATTTTTAAATATTGAAAAAGATCAGGGAAGACATACAAACCCTGAGATTAACTCAAAGGGTCCTAAAATTGATTTTTAGGAACACTGTATCGATTATTTAAAAGGTGATTTTAACTGTACTCTTGAAACAAGATACACTTTTCAGTATTTTGCTCCAAAATTAGAATTACCTTCTTACCAACAGAGTATTAATTTTTCCCTTCTCCCAGCTCATTCACTCTCAGCTATAAATACTTATAAAAAAGAAAAGAATACAAACTGGGTTCCCTGTCTCCTGTCGCCCCCTTTTGCTTTCTCAGGAGTACTGTCCAAGCACTGGAACCTGGCTTCCATGGCTACACTCGGCTAACATGGCCAGGTCATGAAAGGCTCAGCTCCCAGCCCCTAAAGCCTCTCCCATGCTCACCTTTGTTCACTACTGTGCAAAACCGTCCCTGTAATTTTCTCTTGGACATTTTCCCTATGCCTTCCAAGACTTTATCTTCTCCTACTTCTTTCTGCTTCTCTGAACTTTGCTCGGGGTTAAAGAAGACATGCTTGGTTTTGGTTTTTAGCTCCTTTCAATGTCTATTCCTGATTGTCTACTTAAAAGTTTAAGTTGTCTTTTTCCTTGTCACCAACGTACTCTCCCAGTCCATTTTGTTCACTTTTTATCTAAAAGAAGCCTGTCAAAACTATGTTAGACTGACTTCTCTTCTGGGCTCTACATTTCTAACTTCCCATATAGGGTCTATACTGTGTTAGCTAACAGGTAACTCAAATTTAACATTTGTAAAAACAAATTATCCTTTGTATCTGCTCATTCTGTACTCCTTATCACAGTTAATAGTGATGCCATCCTTTCAGTAACCCTAGTTAGGATCCAATATCTTTCACTTCTCTCCATCTCTCATCAACCACCACATCAAGCTCTCAAGCTCTATCTCCTTTGCCTTCTGCATGCCTTTAAAATCTGCTCCCCTGTGACCTCTTCATCACTGCTTGAGCCCAAGTCTCCAAGCAGGCTACCACAGGTTTCTTAACTGGTCTCTAGTCTACTTCCTCTGCCACCAGCAAAGCTATTGTTCTTAAACTATACTATCCACCTAATGATGAAATCTTTTAATGACTACATACTGCCATAAAATCCCAACTTCTGAGCAAAACACACAGGTTCTTAAAAAAAATCTACCTGCTCCTTACCCTCCTGCCACCTTCTCCATCATTTCCCAGAGAATCTATTCTCTATTTTTTTATTCTACATTTTTGTTCTGTTTTTTAAGGTTTTTTTTTTTTTGAGAGAATGTCTTACTAAGTATTTCAAAGTGGTCTTGAACTCTCCTTGTAAACCAGGCTGGCCTCCAACTCATGGCTGTCCTCCTGCTTCAGCCTCCCAAGAGCTGGGATTACAGGTGTGCACCATGGCTGGCTTTTCTGTTCTATGGATCCATAAACAGGTGACTCTTCACACTGTCATACTTTTGTATATAAACATAGCATGTCCTCATCACATCATGATTTCTTTAAGTCTCTGTCCAAATGCTAATTCCTCAGAGAAGCCTCCTGAAACTACATATTGGCAGGAATCTCTTTTTCTCTTATTGCCATGGTGTTTTCTGGCCACTGGAAACTTTAGACATTGTATCTCTCCACTCCTGTTTCCTCTAGAGAGGTCCTTAAAGTAGTGAGCTAACAGTACCTTGAGCACAGATACATTCTTAGTCTAAGTATTTGATTCTTTTTTGAAAAAGTGAATTCAATATATATGTATATATATACACACCCTAGTGAAAATACATAATCTGAATGTACTTTTTCCACACAAGCCATGTAAAAAATCTCTCTCTCAATGAAAGAAAGCAAATGGTATAAAAATCAAAGTTACCAGTTCTCACAGCCTTAAAAGATAATAATGTCTGCCTTTATGACTTGTATCTGTTGGCTCTTCCAACAAAGCTTCATTGAACCTAAGTAATATAACACACCCTAGATAAATTTGTCATGTAGTAGAGGTTTCTTTTATTCTGGAAGGATTTCCCACTGCTCAGCTCCTCACTTGCCTTCCAATGGCACAATCTTCAGGTCTTTAATACCACTCTTCAAAAACACCAAAGTGTGTGTGTGGGGGGGGAACACCAAAGGATCTATCAGCCACCTATACTTGATTACACTTAGATACTAAAGTATTCACTGAGGCAGGCCTTTATACATTCAATTTCATATTGGTAAATTTAAAACCAATGACTTCTTTTAACTACTTAAAAGAAACTTCAAGCATCAAAACACCCAGGAAATTTCTTTTGGGTAGACAATCCCTTAAATCACAGCAGGACCTAATAGGGCCTTGGGTTAATTTTATGAAGTCAGTCAACACAGACAGTCCGTGATGTCTACCTAATACTTGCCCTGCACAGGAGAGGCCCCCATTACTCTGTGGGGAATAGCTTGCCTGACAGCTGCCTGTAGTGTTCTTCAATTCTGTGGGGCTCAGAGGAGTCTACACCTTGCTGTCACCAGCTTAGAACAGGACTGGAGTACTCCCTCCTCTATAACTCTGTCCCTCCCTTCTCAAGGCATAACTCAGTTTTCTTGTTAACACCTCTAAATTACCTTAATATCCCCCACTTTCTAATTATTCTGACCTAAGATTTAGAAACACATACTATATTTTATATTCTTTATGTATTTCTATATTTTAGCTACTCTTGGATAATTTTACAGCATAATCTCATGATCTGACCTCTATTCTGCATTTGATTATGAAATTTTTGACAAATGCAGCACTGTAATACTTGTTCCCTAATCGTGTTTATATTACTATACAGCTCATGTGAGCTTTCTCCCTACTGATTTTCAAAAGTCATTCATACAGGTCCTAGCCCAGGTCCGGTGAGTGTGTGGGGAGCTTCCTGCTACCCTGCGCCGGCGGGACCAGTCCGAGCCCAGGCACAGCGAGAGCCGGACCCTCTCCCGCCACTTCGGGCCCCACCCCACCCCTCCCGCCGAGTAGGAATTTCTGCCGACTTCCGGGAACCCCCAGACTCAGTCCTAGCCCAGGTCCGGAATTTCTGCCGAGTTCCAGGAACCTCCAGACCCAATCCTATCCAGGTCCGCAGCAGGAAGGAGCTGAGCACAGCAGCCAGACCTAAG